TTTGCTGTTTCACCTCTCTGTAACTCATCCTGTAATGCACACAAGGATTAAGTATGTTTGTTTATAAAGATGGTAAATCAGTTTATTACCATCAGCTTTGAATTTTATTCTAGCACAATAGAGAATATAGGAGACAACAACCATTGATTTTATTGCCACACCAATAAGTTAGGGTTAAGTTATGACTCAAAAAGATCAGTTATGACTCGATCAAAGTTAAATTATGATTCAAAAACTTGGGATACACTTAACATTTTAAGAATCGATCCCAAAAAGACATTACTGTGTTGTAATCTCAATTGATTCAATCCTGATCCAGCACGATCGAGTCGTAACTTTTGGTACCATATTGAAAAGAAACCCAAATCATGGACTGCATTTGGTTGATTATGTAGTGTGAAGTACATACCCCTTGAGGTACCTAAGTCGTTGCAAAGTCGAAAAATCATGGATGACCACCTTAAAATATCATGGTATTTCTCCAAATACTCTAATGCCTGTGTTGTGACATTTTGATTCATTGGAAAGTAGGCATGAATTAGAATAACATTCCCAGAAACTGAGCGCCATGCATTTTCAAGATAATCCTCAAGCGTTGGCGTGTGTTTTCTGTAATTCCATTCTGCTTCCAGCAAAAATGCTTGGCATAAGTCTGCCCACTGAATAAAACAAGTATACAAGACAAATAAATATCAATTTATAGACCAAAACTTTTGATAAATTAAATTTTGATCCTCTTAACTATTTTTGTGATCTCACTTTGCCCCATCAACTATTGACCGTCTCACATTGCGCTATCATCCACTTGAATCAATTTTATACTACCTCCAAACCCAACGTCTGCCATATTTGGATAGAAAACATCCAAATATGTGATAATTAAAGTTTTTAAATGCTCATAACTGGATTTATATGAAACCATTAACCATAATTGGAAGTGTATTGTGAAAAACATAATATTTGAGGGGTAATGTGAAATTTACAATCATAGTTAGAGGTGCAGAGTAAGAGACATGATAATTGGGGTGGTGATTTACGACATGGGCATAGTTGAGGGGCCAAAGTGTAATTTGATCTAAAATTTTTAAGTCAAGACTATACTACATGTTAGCATCCATATGGGGTAACATACTGCTTTAGATAGGATTGGTATGACGTTTATGCCTTTATCTTTCAGAGTGTCGTAAGCCATTTCATTGACAGTGTTGTAGAGAGCCAGGAAGCATAACTTCATGTAGTATGAAAAACTTTTCACTGCATTGGCATCCCATCTGACAGAAAGATGTGAACGTTTCAATTAAACAAGGAGAAGCATTGAAGGGATCATTAAACGAGTAAGAGAAATTTAAAGGTTGAACAATTCCTTGAAAATACAAACCTCTTAACAGCATCAGTGAATAGCTGAAGTTCATCTAACGATCCATAAACATCATAAACATCGTCAATTGTAGTTATTAGTGCAATAATTTGTGTTAAACCTATTCGACAATTACTAAATCTCAGTTCATAAATCTTTCCCACTGTCCCGAAGAAGCATTCTATTAACCTATTTCTTATAAAGTTCAACTCGCTAGCAAGACCTATACCTTTTCACCACTTGATAAAAATTTTAAAGGTCGATTATTTCACAAAAATTGCAATCTGGAGTTCATCGAAGGACTATGAATGTTTAGTGTGATGTGAATATTCCTTCTTATCATGTTGCATCATATAGTCACAATGATAGGATTGTCTAAAATGAACTATTTAAGTCATTCGATGGCTCGAAGGTGTTTTACATCAACCATTAGTCTTACCTCGCCACTGTTTTAAGATCACTTTGTAAAGTAGATTGTACCATGTTGAAATCTAAAACAGCAAGTTCGAGCAACGATTGATTTGCTTCTTTATTCTTACTATAGACATCGATGTACCACCGAGCTTCTAACCTACACATCCTATGGTGCAACGGAAGCTCCAATGCATGATTTATCTTTTCCACGAGGCTTTTGTCTATGTGTCCCTTGATGTCCTCAAGTTGAATCATTGCAAAAGATTTGAGCTCTTCCAAGACATTCTCTTCCACGAAGGAGAGAAATGAAGCTTCGTACAAATTTAGCAATCCCTTGACATCATTTTGCTAGTCTTCTACAAAATCATCGTAGTGATCCTTGTAACTCTGAAAGATATCTGTCTTGCACAAAAAGTATCGAGTCATACAATGAGAATTCTAATATTCATATACAACAAACATATTTTATATACATATGGCGGTTTTGATATGACGTTTGTCATTACCTTAAATTTTTTTTTCTAAGACTTACAACTTTCAAATAATAAAAAAACAGTAATGCTATGCTGACTAAATTTTAAGTCTAAATTTAGAGTTCAAATGACATAACATATTAGTTGGAGTCTTTATTGGGGTTCAAATGACATGACACTAAATAAAGAAGCCCAAGTCAGCTGCCATATTATTTGGGTTTTAAATTTGGTCAGTGTAACATTGCTGTAAAAAAAACACTTACAACTAACTTCTCATAAATATTTTGAACAAAAAAAATTATTATTAGTAGATATTTTAATTTTTATGGCAAGTTAAGTACTTTTACTACTTAAATAAGTTTTAAGAACAAAAAATGAAAAAGAAAAAAAAAACTCTCATATTCACTTAATTATCATCATCGCCATCACCGTCACCGCCATCACCACTATTACAGTTGCCAACACCACCACCACCATCACTTGTGCCACCAAACCACTTGCTCCTCCCACCACAACCAGCCAACACGCCCACTACCATTTACCACCACTGGCAGTCCCACCACCACCACCTCCTCTAATCACCGTCACCACTTATTGCCACTACCACCATCACCCACCACCACCCATCACAATGGTACTCCTCATCAATAGTAAATACTGTCGTCCGTATTGCCATTTCACCACTACCACTTTCGTTGCCACATGTATGTGTAGGTATGTGAATTTAAGGATATATTGGTTATAACACCACCACTACTTTAAAAATCAAGATTCTACCTTGAATCGGTGGGAGAGACTAAATTCTTACAAGGTCGGATTGAGAATCCTAAATTGTTACGAAATAAAAGAAATGGAATTATTAAATTTCTAGAGAAAAGTAGGATAAGTACCTTGAGAGATGTCATAATCGTGTTGTCTGAGGAGCCTGAATTTGAGAGCAGTAACATGAATGTTCTTCTCCGCTCCCACGTTACTCTCGTCCATTGCAATTATTCTATTGAGTGCTACAGTTATATCTTTGTCAAATCGGTAGCCCAAGCCTAATCGTTCTACGTCGTCTATCAATTGGAGCAATGTCAATGGTCTCACACCCTCATCACCAATCATAATCTTCACCTCATCCTCCAGTTCCTTTGACCTTTCCTTGTGTAATTCATCCCGTATAAATTCCAAATGCACACACACACACACACACAAAATGATGGTATTAACATGGGATTGTTGAACAAAAATATATACAATAAAGTACATCATTTTTACGTTCGGTAAAAATGATTTTAATTTTTTGTGGTTGAGATCGTTTTAATTTTATTTTAAAGTTAATCCGACAGTTAATATTAACTTTCAAAAATTTAATAGGAAAAATAGTCCTCCTATGGGTGTATTTAAAGTGACTTTTAAAAAAATATTTTTAAAACTTATGACTTCTCATATGCATTTTAAAAAATAAAAAACAGTGTTTGGAACAACTTATTTTAATTATTTCTAAATAAGTCAAAAGTAGTTTTACCACTCAAATAAGTAAGTAAAAATAAAAACAAATAACTTCTAATTCTTTAAAATTATTTATGTACAAAATACTTCACCACCACCATTGCTACTACCACCACTGCTACTACCACCATTACCCCCACAACCGCACCACGACCACTACTACCACCACTACTATCGTTGTCGCCACTCCAGCACCACCTCTGCTACAACCACCACCATCGCCACTACACATCACTACCATTACCATCGTCACGCACATCGATTGTTACCACTATAATTATCATCTCATTCTTATATTTATTATCAGTATCACCACCATCGTCCACCGCCGCCACCACCATCATTGCCCAACACCACCCATCGCCACCAACTACCACCCGTCGGCGCCCACCACTGCCACCACCTACTGTCAACCACCTCCAAACCTACCACTATCAACCATCATTATACGTCATTGCCCACCACTGTCTCTGCTAATTATCATTCACTTCCATCACACCTACCATCATTACTATCATTTGTCACCATCCACAACCACCGTTCACCCATAAGCAACCGTCGTCACCCACTACCACTCACACCCACCACCACCTCGTCTCCCCATCACCACCACCACCAACTATCACCACCGTCTCCCCCCACCACCCAATGCCGTTATTCATGGTTGCCACTATCACTATTGTCACCCAAAAACCACCACCACCACCTCCACTGTTACCACTCACGGCTGCCACCATCACCACGGTCATCGTCGCCTACCATAATCATTACAATTTTCCACCACCACTACAATCGGTATTTAAATTTTTTTATCTCTCATTTTTGTTTGTAATTTAATTTTGGGTGAGAATATAAATATATTTATGATTGATAATTATTTTTACTATTATGTACCTTTAAGTACAAACAATAACTAGTATATATATAAGTTTACATCGTTGTGAATGAAAATCTACTTTTACGAAATAAAATCTGTACTAAATGAAAATGCATTCCCACATCGAATGGTAGGGAAAATGAGTACTGAATATACATTTTGCACGACGACAGGTGCCTTTTAAGACCTGGTGCCCACCTGTCCCAGAAAAAGGGCATTTGTGCTCCTGCAAGATGCTGTGTCTTTTCCAAAAAAAAAAAAACAATTTCTAAAAACATGCTAGGAATGATGTTTTTAGAAATTTGGTCTATGTTTTCTCAAATCATTTTACAGAAAAAGCCTACAAAGTAATGTTATAACTGATACCTATCAAGTCTTTTTGTTTCTAGAAGTTTTTATTTGTTATTTGAGTGTCAAGAGTTTGAGCAATGAAAACAGTCTTTTGGCATGCAGGATAAAATTGCTTACATCTAACTCCTATCTTGTAACGGCAGAAGCCTCGTGCATTAGGCCACCTTAATACTTTCAATTGTGATATATGTTATTTATTAGTAGTAATACCCTATTTTATAAAACATTAATTAGAAACAAAAATAAAAGAAAAACTCCACAAAAAAAGTGAAAAAGGTGGAATTGACGAAGTGAAGTCTTCAAGAATTACCATATCTTCGCTCTTCAAGGACTTTACGAAGTCATCGGTCCAAATGGTTGGCTGGTAATTGGCTGATCTTCTTTGATCGTGAAAAATATGAGTGATAGCGGAAGAGCAGAGATGACAATTATGATTGGGTTTGATAGCCCTCTGTGGGAAACTTCTGGGTAGGTTATATGCATCAAAAAAATCTTTTGAATTCGATATATAACAAACAAGAAGGGACACAGTATCGTGGGTACATATTGTGAATTAGACAGATCATAAGGGGTGTCGGTCTAGTTTGTCCTTTTTGTGCAGAACTCCTTCGAGGCTGACACAGATGTATACCAGACTGCACTCAAACCTTAGAATTCTGAAGGTGAAGATGTTTCAGTTTGGGGTCCAATCATGGGGAAAATATTCTATGCTTTTCATGCACCAGCTGGCAGAACTATGAAATATCACACTTTCACATGTCTAACAGTGTAAATATTTTCTCCCAATTATGCTATGAAATATTCGTTTTCAATATTATGTTTATTTTTTAATTTAATGAAAATATAACACATGTAAAACTAAACTATTTGAACTCGATTTCATCACATCACATCACCGAATAACGAGTGAATGAAAATGAAAACTAATGGTGTATGAAATCGAAAAGTATGAACTAGGAACAAGGCCGGCCCAACAGGAGGAAAAGAAGCGATGGTTTTAGGCTTCATTAATAAAGAGGGCCCCAAAATTTAAAAAATTTTTAAATATAGCCCAAGTCAATCTTAACCCATTAAAATTAGTCCTTATAAGAAAGTCCCATATGAAGGCCTCAACCAATAAAAAAAACTCTATACTGATTTTGGGCCCAAAAATACAACCCATTAATCTCACACGATAACATAGTACAAAAAACAAAAAAGAAAATATATTTTGTACCTAATTTAGTGATCATATCTGGTAACATGATGGATTATAGTTGTGGAACTGATAATGAGTTCCAAAAAATAGTAGGATCCATTGTCAATCTAATGACAGAAAATGATAAGATTATCAAATACAATCACTAAATAAGGTCCATATAATATTGTCTTTTTTATCATAATCTTAAAAATTTAGTCAAACATATATTCCATGAGTAATGTCTAATTCATAGAAAAATAATTTTATAAGAGTGTCAATGACGAGACAACATAAATTATCAAAATAATCTTTGAATTTTAAAGTTTTAAAATTTTTTATTTAATTTAAAAATTAAGTCAATTAGTTATACTATCAATAAAATAAGATATGTTAGAAAAATTTCAATACGAATACTAAACAATTAATATGTATCTGGAAAAAAAAAATTAAATAATTTACTATATTATTAATTTTTTTTATAAAAAAAAGTCTCAATTAAATTTATAGCTTTAGACCTCAAAACATATCAAACCACCCCTGACTATTCAAAATTACACAGTTTCGATCATGAGCTATTCAAATTTTGGTCAAGAGCTACCCTACTTTGTTCAAGGGCTACATAAATTATTTTTTTTCCATATTTAGAAATCACATGATAAGTTTATAATAAAAAATCTTTATCAATTTGGACATTGCCGGTTTGAAAGATCACATAGAAATATATTTAATATTTCAAGGATTAAAATAAAACAATTAAAATATTAGAAATCAAAATAAGATAAACATTATACTTTAAGACCTCTAATAAAATTAACCTTGTATATAATTTATTTCTAACAAATTAATTCTTTGACAGCAGCCTACCAGTTGTATCATTGTGATACTGTTAAAATTACGTAAAAAAATAATTTTGTTAAGACTACTGTCTACAGGTCTCAAGTATTTTGTGTTACAAGTTTTTTCCCCCTCACAGATAGACTTTTTCATCGTAAATTCTATGTCGTCTCAATTTTTTAAAATATAATTTTTTTTTTTTCGCAGTTTAGATTATTTTTAATTTTATTTTAAAATTAATTCGACAGTTAATATTAATTCTTCAAATTTAATAGAAAAAATAAACACCTTTAGGTATGTTTGAGGTGACTTTTTAAAAATACTTTTAGGAGTTATGATTTCTCACAAACACTTTTTTTTTTTTTAAAAAAAGTAGTGTTAGAACAACTTATTTTAATTACTTCCAAATGAGTAAAAACAATTTTATCACTTAAATAAGTAAGTAAAAAAAAAAAATTATACTTCTTAAAATCTTTTATCTACAAAACACTTCACTACCACCACCGTCACCACCCCGCCACCAGGGTAGACACACTCTAACAATAAGTTTTATTTTGTCTGCTAATAGTTAAAAATAATGTAACACATTTTTTTTTTTTACATCATATTTGATACTTAAAGATTGATTAAACATAGATGGGCCAAAAGTAGGGGTGTCAAATGTGTCATGTTCGTATGACCCACATATCGTGTTATTCGTGTCGTGCTCGTGTCAACACCCACGAAAAAAAAAATTAATTTAATGTGCTTTGAGTATTAAACATTAGTTTAGACTATTTATTATGCGTATAAATTATTTCTTTATTATATCAAACAGTAACATGCTTAACAAAAAAATAGTAACATTAAATAATAATTGGGTTTAAGTTAAGAGTGTTTGTGATAGTTTACGCGTATTTTAACTAATTTCATTGGAGACCAGTCTCATGAAAGATTTACTATTTATGTCGAAATTAAAATATTCATGAAAGATAAGTTTCTTTATAAATTAATTCTAAAAAATTATCAAAATTTAAAATTAAAATATCTGAATTTTTAAAAAGCCCTTATTACTTATCACCGCTAAGAAAGGGGTCTTTTGAATTCAATATATACCAAACAAGGAGGGACACAATGTCGTGGCACATATGTGAATTTGATAAGGGCTGTCGGTTTATTTTGTCCATTTTGTACAGAACTCCGTAGAAGTTGACACAGACATGTACCAGACTGCACTCAAACCTTAGAATTCTGAAAGTGAAGATGTTTTAGTCAGGGGTCCATTTATGGGGAAAATATTCCATGCTTTTCATGCACCAGCTGGCAGAACTTTGTGATGTACATTACATATATAATATCTTTCTTTCACATATAAAATATTTATATATTTTTATGCGATGAAATATTCATTTTCAATATTATGTTTATTTTTTAATTTGATGAAAATATAACACATGTAAAACTAAAATATTTGTTGATATCATAGTCTTATCCTTTTCAAAGACATTTTAATGTCCAAACAACATACAAGGGTGCAAAGAGAAGTTAGAGGGCGATGAATACCTAAATTTCATGACCTTATATCAAATTGAACTGCACATCTCTGCACTCTAAGGGACGATATTTTAGCAAGACATTATAGTGGAAATAATTAAATATAATGAAAATATAATTTCAGATCAATCGAAAACATTAAAGACATCACTTACCCACAAAAATAAAAAAAAATTGAACTCAATTTCATCACATCACCCAATAAAGAGAGAATGAAAATGTAAACTAATGTGTATGAAATTGAAAAATATAAACTAAGAAAGATATACGAGCTCTTTTGAGTTAATGGGTGAGCAGTGTGTATGTGCAAAACAAAATAATAATAAGTAAGAACACAAGAAAATAAATGATTCATCAAGTTGAATAGTTAGGTCAATCTACTGTAACGAAGACTCTTACTCCTTTAATTTGTATTACTTTCGAAAGAAGACAATTACACTGTAGAGAATTAAATTGCCTATGTTTTGGAAAGGTAAGGGCTTACCTATTTATACACTATAATAATGTGGTCAAATTTTTACTCAAATTTTAATCAAAGAGTTATCAAAATTATACAGTTTTGATCATAAGCTATTCAAAATTTAGTCAAGAGCTACCCATATTTTGGTCAAGGGCTACTTAAATTATTTTTTGCCCATATTTATGTATCACGTGATAAGTTTGTAATAAAAAATCGTTATCAATTTAGACACTGTTTCACGTGATAAGTTTGTAATACTGTTTCATTAAAATCTTTTTTCTACAAAACACTTCACTACTACCACCACCACTGTTGGCCACTGCCCCACCACCACCACTACAACCGGTGGCGGAGCCAACAATATATTGTATGGTAGACGCACTCTAATTATAAGTTTTACTTAGTTCACTTAGCGTTCGTTTGATTACCGTATTAGAAATTGATATATTAGATAGAATAATTCAGTCTAATACAATATAAAAGGAAAAAAAACAAGATAAAATAAGGTATTAGAATAATATATAATTTTATTTAGTGTTTGACAATACACAACATAAACGTTGGATAGTAGTTATTTAATTCAATTAGTTGTTTGGTTAGAAAATTATTTCATCGTATTAATGTTGAATTAACAAGAATATTATCAATCAGTGTTTTTTACATAGATGACAACTTGATTTTATTAGTTAGAGGTTATAATAGTAAATGTGTAAAATAATACGTTTGAATTGAATTATAATACCACATTTTTTGGTGGTATTAAAATACCTCTATAATACAGACATATTGTATACAAAATATATGATAAGTGTATTATTAATATATGTTTTTGAAATTAATACGGTATCAAATTTGCTTATCAAATAAAGTATTAGACCCGATTAAATAAAAAATAGTACAATCAATTATTTAATCTCCTCATAATACATCTACCAAACGAGCCCTAATAGTTAAAAATAATGTAATACATTTTTATTTTTTTACATCATATATTTGATACTTAAAGATTGATTAAACATAGATGGGCTAAAAGTAAGGGCGTTGAACGTGTCATGCTCGTGTGACCTGCATGTCGTGTTATTGGAGTCGTGTCATTGTAATTCGTGTCGTGTTCGTGTCAAGATTCATGAAAAAAATTTATTTAGTGTGCTTTAAGTATTAAACATTAGTCTAGACTATTTATTATGCGTATTTAATAATTGTGTTAATTTTATAATCGTTCGTGTCAGGTTCGTATCAATGGATTAGAGTTGACACCTCTAGCCAAAAGTATGTATATAATATTTAAGCAAAAAAAAAAATCTAAAAAGAGGTCAATTATATACCTTTACAAAAAATGAGATTAATTATATAAGAGATGTGATTAAAATATCAATGTTAAAGTCATAACCAGTAATATCAATACCAAAGTTTGAAGGTTGTGGCCTAATTATTGGTGCTTTGTTTGTTTTAGTGGCTTTGGAGAGAACTTGAGAACATAGTCGGCCAGTCTTTTTTTTTTTTATCAAATTTCTTTTTTTATTGTTGACTTCAAAAGATTCTACAAATCCTTGGAAGCAGGTACTATTTATAAGTTTTATTTGAGAGAAACTCCTTTTTAAAAATATCTTTGATAAAAGTTCACTTTTAATAAAAAAAGTCAGTAATACCCTTTTCCCATATTTCTAGCGCTAAAATACATTGTTATCCACTTCACAGAGGAAGCCAAAAGGACGCTTTCATTCATGGCAAACGGTTTCCAATCTATTAGGAAATACACTTCATTGAAATCAGCTTAAATTATTATCCCTTAATTTAATGTTAATGAAGGATACGTTAATATATGAGTTGAACTTTGCGAGTTTGAGTCGAGCTTGACTCTTTTTTCTAAACAAGTCTATAAAATTGTTCAAACTCAACTTATTTAAAATACGAGTCGAGTTCGAGCCGTGTTTAGAATGCGAGTTTGAGCTGAGTCCGAATAGCTCATCTAGATTACACCCGTACCGTCATCACAAATTTTATGGTTTATTTTTATAATTTTTAAGGGTTAGTTATAATTTTGACAATCATTTAAAATTTTTGAAAATCATTTTATAACTTTTGAAGGTCATTTATAACTTTTGAGAGTACATGTAATTGATGTTAAAATTTTTAGAATTGATCCCCAATAACCTACAAAAATTATAAATTGAACCCTAAACGTTTTTGTTGTGCCATATTTAATGGCGTTACATGGAACAATCCTTTCTGAAAGGGAAGGTAGGGGACGAACTTCATTTCATTTTCAGATGTCATTGTTTGAATTACACTGATTTTTGGTTTTATATATCTATTACATGTTAATCACGACGCAATGTACTATAAACTTTCTACCTCTGATTTTAAAAATATATAGTAGCAAATAGCGAAACGATTACTATTACTGAAATGTGGGTTCGGTGAAAATTGACAAGAGACAATGATTTTGACATTGATATTAAATCTAGTTGTGATACATTCCAAGGTCGCTTGTTCCAATCATTTCAACAACTCACTCAAGAATTGAGGAATACACCCTTCTCAAACACCATTTATTTGATGAGTCTAATGGGTTCGATAATCGTTGCCAAGACGCGATTTTTTGATCTACTATCAGGAGCTCCATGCCCATCTCCGTATTGGTACGTGCACTGGGAAATCCGGGCAAGGTTCATTGCTGTCTCAAGATAATGTTTTGAGAAAGGAGAATCATCTACTCGACCTTTGTTCAGTTTCTTCCATGCTTCACTGATTAAATTGCTGATGTGTTCGCGGGCAAGTTTTTCTGAAAGTCCATTTTGATGCATACAACACAGGATTGAATTTGCTGTTTCACCTCTCTGTAACTCATCCTGTAATGCACAAAGATTAAGTATGTTTGTTATAAAGCTGGTAAATCAGTTTATTACTACATTCTATTGTACCATCAGCTTTGAATTTTATTCTAGCACAATTGAGAATAAAGGAGACAACCATTGATTTTGATGCTACACCAAGAAGTTAGAGTTAAGTTATGACTCAGAAAGGTCAGTTATGACTCAATCGAGGTCAAATTATGACTCAAAACTGGGGATACACTTGACACTTTAATGATTGATCCCAAAATGACATTACTATGTTGTAATCTCAACTGATTCAATTATGTGATCCTGCTCGATTGAGTTGTAACTTTTGGTATGATATTTAAAAGAAACCCAAATCATAGACTGCATTGGTTGATTATGTAGTGTGAAGTGCATACCGTTGAGGTACCCAAATCGTTGCACAGTCGAAAAATCATGGACGACCACTTTAAAATATCATGGTGTCTCTCCAAATACTCTAATGCCTCTGTTGTGACATTTTGACTCATTAAAAAGTAGGCATGAACTAGAATAACATTCCCAGAGACTGAACGCCATGCATTTTCAAGATAATCCTCAAGCGTTGGCGTTTGTTTTCTGTAATTCCATTCTGCTTCCACCAAAAATGCTTGGCATAAGTCTGCCCACTGAGTAAAACAAGTATACAAGACAAACAAATATCAATTAATAGACCAAAACTTTGACCCACTTAACTATTATAGTGATCTCACTTTGCCCCATCAACTATTGACCGTCTCACATTGTGCTGTCATCTACTTGAATCAATTTCATACTACCCCCAAACCCAACGTCTGCCATATTCGGATAGAAAACATCCAAATATGTGATAATTAAAGTTTTTAAATGTTCATAATTGGAGTTATATGAAACCATTAACCATAATTGGAAGTGTACTGTGAAAAACATAATATTTGAGGGGGTAATGTGAAATTAATAACCATAGTTAGAACTGCAGTGTAAAAGACATGATAATTGAGGTGGTAATTTTTAAGACACGGGGCATAGTTGAGGGGCCAAAGTGTAATTTGATCTAAAATTTTTAAGTGAAGACTATTATACATTTAAGCGTCCATATGAGGTAACATACTGCTTTAGATAGGATTGGTATAACGTTTATGCCATTTTCTTTCAGAGTGTCATAAGCCATTCCATTGACAGTGTTGTAGAGAGCCAGGAAGCATAACTTCATGTAGTGTGGAAGACTTTTCACTGCATTGGCATCCCATCTGACAGAAGATGTGAACGTTTCAATTAAACAAGAAGCAACATTGAAAGGATCATTAAACGAGAGTAATAAAAATTTAAAGGTTAAATGATTCTTTGAACATACAGACCTCTTAACAACATAGGTGAATAGCTGAAGTTCATCTAACGATCCATAAACATCATAAATATCGTCGATTGTAGTTATCAGTGAAGTAACTTGTGTTAATCCTATTCGACAATCACTAAAGCTCGGTTCATAAATCATTCCCACTGTCCAGAAGAAGCATTCCATCAATCTGTCTCTTATAAAGTTCAACTTACTTGCTAGGCTTACGCCTTTCCACCACCTGATAAAAATTTTAAATGTTGATTATTTCACAAAAATTGCAATCTTGAGACTATGAATGTTTAGTATGATGTGAATATTCTTTCTTATCATGATGCATTATATAGTCACAACGATAGAATTGTCTAAAATGAACTATTTAAGTCCTTCGATGGCTTGAAGGTGATTTACATCAATCATTAGTCTTACCTCGCCACTGTTTTAAGATCACTTTGTAAAGTAGATTGTACCATGTTGAAATCCAAAACAGCAAGTTCGAGCAACGATTGATTTGCTTCTTTATTCTTACTATAGACATCGATGTACCACCGAGCTTCTAACCTGCACATCCTACGGTGCAACGGAAGCTCCAATGAATGATTTATCTTTTCGACAAGGCTTTTGTCTATGTATCCCTTGATGTCCTCAAGATGAATCATTGTGAAAGATTTGACCTCTTCCAAGAGATTCTCTCCCTCAAAGGCGAGAAATGAAGCTTCGTACAAACTTAGCAATCCCTTAACATCATTTTGTAAATCTTCTACAAAATCACCGTGGTGATCTTTGTAACTCCGAAAAATATCTGTCTCACACAAAAATTATGGAGTCATACAATGAAATTTCTAATACTTTTGTATGTACATATGGTGGTACTATGATGGTATGATGGCGTTTGACATTACCTAAACAAAAGTTTTTTTACGACTTACTATTTTCAAATCCAAAAAAAAAAAAAAAAAATGCTTGCAAGTTGCAACTTCTCGTAAATGTTTTGAACAAAAAAAAGTATTTTTTGAAGATACTAGTTTAATTTTTTTGATAAGTAGTTTTATCACTTAAATAAGTTTATAAGTAGAAACAAAAGATAAAAGAGCAAAAAAAAAAAACTCTCATATTCACATTTATCACCGTCACCATTTCTAAATTATCACTATTACTGTTTCCACCACCACCATTGGCTCCTGCCACCACAACCCTCCAACACACCCACTACCACCTCCCACCACTAGCAGCCCCACCACCACCACCACCTCCACTAATCCCTGCCACCACCTGTCGCTATTATTACCACCACTACAACCATCACTCACCACCACCCGCCGCCACCACCCACCACTATCGTCCTCCTAATCAATATTGTTGCCACTATTGCCATTTCACCACCACCACCTTCCTTGCCACATGTGTGTGTGGGTGTGTGAATTTAAGGATATATTAGTTATAACACCACCGGAACTTTAAAAATCAAGCTTTTACCTTAAATCGGTGGGAGAGATTAAAAGATTGAGATTATAAGACCTGATTAAGAATCCTAAATTGTTACGAAACAAAAAATGAGATTATTGAATTTCTAGAGAAAACTATGTTAAGTACCTTGAGAGACGTCATAACCATGCTGTCTGAGGAGCCTGAATTTGAGAGCAGTAGCATGAATGCTCTTCTCCACCCCAACATTACTCCCTTCCATTGCAATTATTCTATCGAGTGCTGCAGTTATATCCTTACTAAATCGGTAGCCCAGGCCTAATCGTTCTACGTCGTCTATAAGTTGGAGCAATGTCAATGGTCTTGCACCCTTATTACCAATCATAATCCTCACCTCATCCTCCAGCTCCTTTGATCTTTCCTTATGTAATTCATCCTATATAAATTCCAATTGTACACACAGACACAACCACACAAAAAATGATGGGATCAACGTGGGATTGTTGAACAAACATATACACATAAGTCTACATCGTTGTAAATGAAGATCTCCTTTTGTGAAATAAAATCTGTACTAAATGAAAATTGTTGTAATTTGTGTGCGATGAACAATCAAAGAAACATAAAGATTAGAAGATAAACACAAATATTTTACGTGATTCAATTTGCTTATGTTCACGAGAGAGTGACTGTCTTTTTTTTTTTTTTTTTCCACGCTAAAAACAGGGTTACAACCCTAATTAAGACAAATTCTGAAGGCATTTCTGGCTCTAATACTCTGACAATTGACCCGTTATCTTCAAATTTGGTATATTTTATCTATATTAAATATGAGCCATTTATTCTAACAAAAAAATCTATTATGCAAGAAAAATGAGTACTGAATCGACATGATATCTTTATCTTCTTAATCTTTTGTACGATCACAAGGTGCTTTTAAGATATGGGGCCCACCTGCAAGATCCTGCTCCTGCATGATGCTGTGCCTTTTTTAAAGAAAAGTAATTTCTGAAAACATGCTAGGAAAGATGTTTTAGAGACCAATTCTATATTTTCTCAACTCATTTTAAAAAAAGTTTATACCGATCATATCTTTTTGTATCTGGACATTTTTATTCTAAGATTTTTGCTCGATGGAAACCGGCTTTTCGTACAAAGGGTAAAACTCATAACATTTGACTATTACCTTGCAATGACAGGAGGCTTTTGCGTTGAGCTGTTATAATGTTTCAACTGTAATATATGTTATTTATTAGGAGTAATATCCCATATTTTTAACTAATAGCGTAGTAATACCCCATTTTATAAGACATTAGTTAGAAACAAAAATAAAAGAAAAAGTCTACAAAAAAGTGAAAAAGGTGGGACCGATGAAGTGAGAAGTCTTCAAGAATTACCATATCTTCACTCTTCAAGGACTTAACGAAGTCATCGGTCCAAATGGTTGGCTGGTAATTGGCTGATCTTCTTTGATCCTGAAAAGTTTGAGTGATAGCGGAACACCGGAAATGACAAGTATGATTGGGTTTAAGAGCCCTCTGTGGGAAATTTTTGGGTAGGTTATGCATCAAAAAACGTTGAGGAGGCATGCAAACAATATTGAATGCCATTTCAGAAGTAGCAGATAACTGTATGGAAGTGATATGCCAATGTTTCATATTGGGCTTGTATATATAGACTGATTAGGTTTTGGAGTATGTAAAACGTTTCCGTATACAAAACTATGACAAATTGGTCATAGAAAAAACGTTTTTGTATATATATATATATATATATATATATATATTTTTTTTTTTGTATATAAAACTATGACAAATTGGTCATAACTCCATCCATCTGAGTATTCTTTGTAGTCTTCTAATTCAGACATTTGGTTTTTATAGCGTTAAGTCTACATCACCATCCTTTTTTTTTTCTTTAATCAAATGTAATTTAATCATATTTTTTAATTACTAATGTACCCTTTCCCGCGTGATATTCTTATCTAGAAATCTAACAATACGGCGTTAAGAGCCCAATGAACATAAGAGCCTAATCAAGGCTGTCGGCACAGGCGAAGGGCCGTGAGAACTGGACGGCGGCGGGTGGATGGTCCATCTCTTCGGCCTCAGCGTCGATCTGCTCCTGCACCTCCACCGCTACCCTCTCGGCGCTTGTATGTAGATAGGGCGACTGAGGCTCCGGCGGGGACCACCCGAACAATCCCCTGGGATATCATCATCTCTCAAAACCAATGTCGATGGAATTTGGAGCTGAATTTCGATTTCTTTCTCCGATTCTTTTGTATGGATTTGGGATGGTTTTGAGTAACTAAACAGCCTTCCACCACAAATTTGTCAAAAATTAGAGAAGACATTTTACAAAAAATAAAATTCAGCGGGGCATATGCAATCTAATCTATGCATATGCAAATGCAATACATGCTTTCTTAATTTTTTACCCAATTGAAAGCAAAAATCCTCGAAGAGAGTGTAAGAAGAAGTCCCAACCTCTAGAGAAGGAACAGAGCGGACACGTGGCCAAACCTTGTCCGATAGCAACTCCAACAAATACATTAATTTCACTTTTTTTAGTTTACTTTTCTCATTGTTTTTGTATTCGCTAATTTTTATTTTTATTTTTTAGTTCCATAGTTTAGTATTGTTTTTTATTTTATTATTTTTCATTATTTTTGAGTTCTGTAATTTTTTAGTATTTTTGAAACCAATAATTTTTTTCTATTTTTTGAGTTTATTAATTTTACATTATTTTGGTGTTCACTAATTTTTTACTATTTTTTTAGTTCATTAATTTTTCATTCCTTTTTAATTCACAATTTTTTAGTTCATTATTTTTTAGTTTGACTAGTTTTTTATTATTTTGGGTGATGGGTGGTGGTGGTTGCTAGCGATGGTGGGTGATTGACAAGTTTTTCACTGTTTTAGGTGGTGGATATTGGTTGGTTGGCGACAATAATTGGTGGTGGTGGTTGGTTGGCGACGATGATTGGTGATGATGGCGATGGCTGTGGTTCGTGGTGGCAGGGGTTGTAGGTGGTAGTTGGCGGCGATGTTGGGTGGTGAGTTAGTTTTTTAATGTTTTAGGTGGTGGATGATGGTGGTTGGCAGTGATGAAGCGTGTTGGTTGTTGGTTGGCTAGTTTTTCACTGTTTTGGGTGGTGAGTGGTGGGATGGAGCTACTTTAGTCCTAGTGCCCCTCTCACTTTTGAATAATTACACATATAAGTGCATGCTAGAAGGCGAATACACACGTAAATTGATACATTGCCCCCCCTTATTTTTCAAAACAATTGTACAATAAATTGATTTTTCATTAAGTAGTGTCCCACTATCTTCTAAACCAGTTAAAAGACTTTTTTTTTGATTCAGTACAACATATTTTGGATGATGGGTGGCGGCGATGGTAGGTGGAGGTGATTGGTGGCGATGGTGGGTGATGGTTGGTAGTGGGTGGTGTTGGGTGGCGGGTAGTTGTAGTGGGTGACAAGTGGTGGTGATTGCGCATGGTGGTGGCGGGTGGTGGTGGTTTACAATGATGATGGGTGATGGTGGTTTACGTATGAGTTTGTAACTCGTTCATGTTATTATTTGAACTACTCCTTAGTCTTACTCAACCTATGGACACTCTTAAATTCGTAATGTGGACCCTAACTATGGACTAAAGAAAGGGATCCTTTTGAATTCTATATGTACCAAACAAGAAGTTACACTATGTTGTGAGCTTGATAGATCATAAGGGGTGTCAGTCTAGTTTGCCCTTTTCGTAGAGAAATCCTTCGAAGTTGACACAGACGCCAAACTGCAAATAAACGTAAGAAATCTTAAGGTGGTGGTGGTTTACGGTGATGATGGGTGATGGTGGTTTATGTATGAGTTTGTAATTCGTTCATGTTACTATTTAAACTACCCCTTGGTCTTAGTCAACCTATGGACACACTTAAATTCGTACCATGGACCCTAGCTATTGACTAAAGAAAGGGATCCTTTAGAATTTGATATATACCAAACAAGAAGTGAAACTGTGTTGTTAGTTTGATAGATCATAAGAGGTGTCCGTCTAGTTTGTCCTTTTTTGTATAGAAATCCTTCGAAGCTGACATTGACACCAAACTGCACACAGAGCTCAGAAATCTTAAGGTGAAGATATTTTAGTTAGGGGTCCAATTATGCTACGAAATATTGTTTTTAAATTTTATATTTATTTTTGTACTTAATGAAATTATGTCAGATTTAAAATTAGAATATTTTTCAATATTATATTGAACTTTTAAAGGATTCATGTCTGAAATATAAAAATAAAATCTGTTTGATAATTGAATTGGAGTTTTCAAATAGATTCTGATATGAATTAGTGAAAGCATAATTTAAATCCAATCCGTTAACTAATGTATCACCAGGGAATCTACGACGTAAATGTAGGCCATTCTAAATATTAGCTCATGAACTGTGTTTTCACGATGAAGGTACTTGGCAAACGAAAAACTGATTGGAAGCTGCTGCAAAAACAATGTAAATTTGTGTGATACCTTATAAAGTTTTAGGGCAAAAATATTAGATGTGTTACAAAGTATCACAAAAACTTTGTTTGCCTTTCTCCAAGACCTTTTCCATTCGATAACCCTAGACAGCTATCTCATAACTATAGTCATGGTAGTGGTTTTTTTTTTTGGCAATTAACTAACAACAATAGGATTTCAGTTGACAATTAAATAGTTATGATGGAAGTTAGGATTCCACTTTGGTCAAATTAAAAAGAAACCTCACATTCATTCACACCCAAACCCATGCTACACTAGAAACATGACCAATTTATAATTGCATACAGTTAGTTTTATATTGTGCTTGTTTTGTATTATGTATTAAACCATGTTCAGTGGGTTCATATCTTGTTTAGCTGACTTTGTAATAATCTATTTATTTGGCGGGCCAAATGAATCCATTCGTTTGTTGTTCAAACCCGCAAAAACTATACTTAAATTCGCTAATTTCAAGTTGATTTCTTATTGAACTGGCAAATTAGTTTTAAAATTATCAGTCATAACAAAAAGCATTTCTTCGTTATTCGTGGTATGAAATTTTTTCTTGTCCATACATTTTTAGCACTGTTACATATAGTTGAAGCATCGGAAGGCTTAACATCAAGGGTAGTTCAAGTGATATTTTTTTTTTATAGTTCAAGTGATAATAGCGATGAGTTAAGTTCAAAATTTTGGCAATCTTTTGGAGTGAGACCATGAGAATTTATCTTAGATGAAAAAATAGAAAGATAAAAAGTAGAAGTAATACACTTTATATATTTTAAGAGTGGAATCATTCTCTCTCTTTTGTGTTTGGTAAGAGAGACGGAAAATAGGAATAATTTTATTTTTTTATTTTTTTGTGTTTAGTATGATGGAAAAAGTAATATTTATTATTTATATTTTTTATTGAAAAAAGTTTAAATACGTATTTTACCATTATATTTATATATGGTGGGTACTTAGAATTTTTTTTAATTGTTCTTAAATTTTCATGAAATTCATGAGTATGAAATCTTCATACAATTTTATGATTTTATTGGGTATTTATAATTAGAAATTTTGTTCATTGTTCTTGAATTTTCATGAAATTCATGGGTATGAAATTTTCATGCAATTTATAATTTTACTGAGAAATTATGTAGATTCAACTAAATTTTGGTTACTATAATTTTATGAGAAATGTTTACTTTGGATGTCATGGCTTCGAGTGGATAATCTTACTACCTATAAATGAATTATTCTCATGTGACTCGAATAGATTATAACTAGTAGTTTATTTATTTATGTTTTTTTTGAGTAATTGATATTACTAGATGTGAATGAGTGATTGAATGTGAATTGATTAAATTAAGAAATTTGGTTTGTGTAAACAAATTCGAGTAAAGGGGTATTATTTATTAATAGTCGAATGAGATTTTGAATAATGGGTGTCAGGTTCAGAGACGAGCGTCGTAAAGAACGCTGCTAAAAAAGCTCCGACAGAGGAGTCATCAACACGATAAATTTTCAGCAAAGTATGTATGCACGCTAACATTTGGTTTTATCTACATGCAAAGGTTTATCTGTTTCTATGTGACTTTATAGGTTATGAGTTCTATTGTGAATAAATGGCTTAAGTATTCTAATGTTATGATAGGAATAAGATATCTTCGTGACAGACTATAATATTATGGTTTAGTTGTCTGTGTGACAAACGGAAAGAAAAATCAAATAGTTGAGACGATAAAGGGTCGGATGTCTATGTGACATATTTTATTTATGTAGTGAAGACGTCAAAGGGACGAAAGATAATTGTTAGACTGTGATGTCTAAGTGACTAAAAGTAACCCAAGTGTTCAAATTTGTCCTTGTGACTGAGATAAGTTAAAACTGATTTCGTTTATATGACAGAAGCTAAATTTTGATGTGATGTGAGTTGTTCTAAAAAAAAAAAATAGAATATCGATAAAAGGATACATTTTGTGAAATTGTTTGAGTGACGATCGTATACTGATATGGTGATTAACTTGTGTGGTGTTTTGTCGCCTGAGTGGCAAGACGGTTATTTCTGTGTAAAATCGTAGCGCAATGAAATAGAACTTCGAGAAAAGTTATGAAACCACGAATATTATTGTGTGGTGTTTTGTTGCCTGGGTGGCAAGAAGATTATTTTTGTGTGAAACCGTAGCGCAATGAAATATAATTTTGAGAAAAGATATGAAAACAAGAAAATTAAAATTCTATTAATGAGCAAGGACATCACATTATTTTCTTTGCTCTATCTCTGAAATTATTAATGAGAACTCACTGAAATTTTGTTTGAAAACTTTTCAGATAAACTATACACAAGCTTGCAGTCCACTGCTACAGCTAGAAGTCTAGTCAGGAGTGTCAGGAAGGGCTTGTGTCAGTTTCTTATGTTTGTTTTATATAAAAAAAAATAAAAATTTTTGAGTTGTATATGATGTCAATATTTTGGTTTTGTCATGTAAGCCACACTTGTAAATATTTTTAGTATATGTATATTCTACATGGTAGCAGGCGCGCAGTATATGACCTTTCTTTAAAAAAAAAAAAAATGATCCTAAGATAAATATTTCTAAGATGTATTTTGTTAAACTGTCATGTTATTATGTGTTATTAATAGCGGGATTGCCTAAATTTTATTTTTATAATAATAGTGTAGTGGGATTGGGGTGTTACACCCC